TTTTAAAGACCTGAATAAGACGGGACTCGTTTTAAAGACCTGAATAAGACGGGACTCGTTTTAAAGACCTGAATAAGACGGGACTTGTTTTAAAGACCTGAATAAGACGGGACCTGTTTCTTTTTGTCTTGCAGTAACCGTCGTGTCACCAGGTGAGTGTGAGCTCTGTAAGATGTGTTCCAAGCTACAGACCAGTCGGTGATGTTTGCTCACCTTCCGTTCAGCCCCGTCAAAGCCGGACACTTTGAGGCCCACCTGGTGAAGCTGCAGGCCGACTCCCACTTCCTGCTGTCAGAGGAGTTCGAGGTACTTTCACTCAGATTATTAATCCGTCTCACCTCCCGGCAGCTCGACCAGTTTTTCCACTTCCTGGAGGAAAAACAAGTTCAGATTTACCTTTTTTGCAAACACTAATTATCCTTCACACACAAATCTGATGTTGGAGCTAGCTGTTAGCATTCAACCACCTGCAAACAGGTAAGATACTTATAACCCCATCAACAGAAGACCGTCTCTAGATTCTCTCTTCTTTGAAATAATCTGACTAAACGTTAAGTTGAAAATGTAATTTGTGTTCCTGTAGGATCTGAAGGATGTGGGCCGGAACCAGACGATGGATGTGGCCCGACTGCCGGAGAACCGAGGAAAGAACCGCTACAACAACATCCTGCCATGTTAGTAAAACAGGAAACGACAGAATGAAGAAAATATCGAGCAGTCTGTGTGAGAACATTAAAACAAAACGTCACTGATTTGGGTTGAATCTAATCTGACTAAAGGACAGGTGGGGATACTTCAGCTCCTCCTGGTTTGATTGTTGAATAAATATCAGAGTTATTTTACACAAATAAAGGGATTTAAATATCTTGAAGCCTGATCAAACGTCTCAGAGTCCAGAACACGACTCAGCTCAGACGACATTTACGTCTGAGAGTCATCTGAAAACTAAATGCACCTCCTAATCTACCTGGATTATTGAGCATCAGGATACATTTAACTTCATTTAGGTCACGACAGATTCTTACTGAAAGTTTTGGAACAGAGTCTCTGCTGCTCCGTGGGAGAGACGGAATAAAAACCAACGTTTGTTTCTTTGAGCTGCGACTGATGGAGCGTTTATGAACAGGGACCAGTTCAGTTCTGGACCAGTTTAAACCCACAACTGAACGTGTTCAAACCAGTGAAACGCTGCCTAAAAATCCTGGATCAACAAAACATTTAATTCTTCTGCCACAAACACTAAACAATGTTTGTTTCTATGACAGTAAGACTAAAAACTGTTTGAGCCTCGAGTCATCAGAATAAATTATGTTTACAACTCGATGTTTACAGCCTCTCGGTCGCAAATAAATAAAAACAAGGTCTAGAAATGTAAATAAATAACAACTAAAGTTTATAAATATAAATACATAAAACTAAAGTTTATAAATATAAATAAATAAAACTAAAGTTTATAAATATAAATACATAAAACTAAAGTTTATAAATATAAATAAATAAAATCAATAAATGTAAATAAATAAAAACTAAAGTCGATAAATAAATAAAAACTAAAGTTTATAAATATAAATAAATAAAACTAAAGTTGATAAATATAAATAAATAAAAAATAAAATCAATAAATGTAAATAAATAAAAACTAAAGTCGATAAATAAATAAAAACTAAAGTTTATAAATGTAAATAAATAAAAAGTCTATAAATGTAAATAAAAAATAAAAATAAATGTAAATAAATAAAAACTAAAGTTTATAAATGTAAATAAATACAAAATAAAATCAATAAATGTAAATAAAAAACAAAAGTCTATAAATTTAAATAAATAAAAAATAAAATCAATAAATGTACATAAATAAAACTAAAGTCTATAAATGTAAATAAATAAATAAAATCAATAAATGTAAATAAATAAAAACAAAGTTTATAAATGTAAATAAATAAAACTAAAGTTTATAAATGTAAATAAATAAAAACAAAGTTTATAAATGTAAATAAATAAAAAGTTTATAAATGTAAATAAATTAAAAACAAAGTTTATAAATGTAAATAAATAAAACCAAAGTTTATAAATGTAAATAAATAAAACCAAAGTTTATAAATGTAAATAAATAAATAAAAACTAAAGTTTATAAATATAAATAAAACTAAAGTTTATAAATGTAAATAAATAAAAACAAAGTTTATAAATGTAAATAAATAAAAAGTCTATAAATGTAAATAAAAAATAAAAATAAATGTAAATAAATAAAAACTAAAGTTTTAAAATATAAATAAATAAAACTAAAGTTTATAAATATAAATAAATAAAAACTAAAGTTTATAAATGTAAATAAATAAAAACTAAAGTTTATAA